GATAGCCAGCGAAGATCGAAAATCGAATGCAGCTCATAATAAGGGCCAAAAAGTAATTGCCGAGCATACTTTGTATGGAAGAACCTGTGTGAAAAAAATTGTCAAAAATCAACGCGATTTTCTAACAACTTCAAACTTGCACTTTGTTATACAAAAATTGAATGCGCTATATAACTGCATCTTGGAATTTTTCTTAAAAATCTGACTAGAAGTATCAGATCTTTTTGGATACGAGCGTGTTCACAAGAACCGGTTTGTAACTATTTCTACTGGGAACGAAACACGCATGCCCGGAATCTCTTCACGCTCATTTTACGTATTTCATACAAAATAAATGTACTTTACCAAAACCCAGATAATTTCGACAATTAGTTTTTTTTATTCAAATTCAAATTCAAAAACTGTATACGGTCGTATACAAAGCAGTGATAAGGGTTAAGTGACATTTTGATCGTTTTTGTCTTTTCTTTTTTTATTTAATGATTATAGTTTTTTTTTTAATACAAGTCTAGCACATTACATAACCAGCATGACATAAATCCACGTTTCAAACCTCGTAGAAAATTTATAAAAATTAAACCAACTTTAACAATTACTTTTTATTTAAAATTTTTAAAAAAATTCTAGGTATGCAGTTTTATAGCCCATTAAATTTAAGTTAGTAGAAGTGAAAATTTCAAGCCGCTAGGAAATTTTTTTTTTAATAACATTTTTGGCTGACGGTGCTAGCCACTTTCTTCCATATAAAATGCACTATCCTAAGAAAAAACGTGCGTGAATTGAACCCCCACTTGGCTTCTTATATTTTTTTAATAAAGAATCTTCAATATAGAGCACACTAAAACCTCATTTTCATATAAAAGTTCGTGCGTGTCCCATCCGCGACAAACGTTGTCCCACCCTTGACAGAGGAATTTCGGATTTTTTATAATAAAGGAACATTTTTTTTTATTTAAAAACATCAAGTTCACACAGAAAAGTGAAATAAATTTGCAGAGTTACCGTAAAATATGTCTGCTCCAAAAAGCAGGTCCTTTTTTTGTCCCACCCGTGACAGAAAAAATAAATCAGATTTTTCCCATATAAAAGTAAGTTGGAATTTTTTTCGTATTTGGTAATAACTCATATAATAGTGAATTAGGTATAGATTTATCAAAATGTAGAATTGTTGAGTACTTTATAAATAAATTTAAAAAGAAAGTACATTTTTACTATACAAATGTTCCACCCGTGACGGTGGAGTACCCCATATATATATATATAACAAATTGTATTATTTCATTTACATAACTTGCATATTTACCTCATCTAAAGTTCATTTCATTTAAAGTGCATATGCACATACATACATACTTATATACTGAGTACATTTTAGTTAGCTAATATTTTTCATAACCAATGCTTATGTATGTTTGTCCATACAACTAACCTCGAATGTAATTTTTTCCACACAAAACCCACCACCTACCTACACAGCACATCACTTACGAGCTTGTACGAAAGACCATAAATTCGTTGGTGCTCATCGCAGTCATTATAACGTTTTTGCCGTTTATTGGTTTTGGCGCCTACATCGATGAGAGTGATCCAGAAAATCCGAAATGTTTGCGTTATCGTGATGCAGAAGGTTTCTTGAATAAAACTTACTCGGTGTTGTTTATGCTTTTCGGTGAGTTTTTACTGATTTATTACTTTTAGCTATGCTTATTTGTTTTATATCAAACAAAAACGGCCTCAAGCTCAATAAACATTTTTGAATATAATTGTTTAAAGGCCGTAAATAACAACAACAAATAACCTAAGGACGAGCACACCTAAAAGTTGAACATTCTAAAAATAGAAGTATTAACAAAAACCAACAAAAAAAAAACCACAACAAAATTGTTATCTCATGAAAAGTGGAAAAAGAAACACAGTTTACGTGGCGAACTTAGCTCAGAGGGTAGACCACTTGACTTTGTAATACGAGGTAGAGATGGGCGCGCGATATTGGGACTCACGGTGCTGATTACAAAATGGCCGGGATGGGTGACATCGGGCAGGTCTTTAAAAATTTTGCGGGCGGGACGGGATTAAAATCCTTTCCCGACACTACCGATAAAACCCGTAAACTCCGCAAATTCAGAAAATCTTCCCTGAAAACTTCTTTATGAAATAACTTTTCAGATTTCAGGACCCACGCGACCGGCGGTACAATTCTGAAAAATGACGGGATAGGCGGGCTCGGGACTTAAAAATTTAATTTCGGAATGCGAGGGATCGGAGTTGAAATGTGTGTCCCGTGCCCATCTCTTATCCGAGTGACATATCCCAGTGACGCCGGTTGAAGAAGTCTGATGAGGAGATGTGGTGATCTCCGAAATAGCAGCTATAACTTCTACCTTTGTGTAAATTGTTGTTGTTTTCAATAAAAATGGTTGAATCTAACAGTAACTTAAATACTTTTACGTGCATACTTACTTGTATTACATTTACCATTACATACATACATTTATGTAAGAATACAAAGACAAATTAATTATCAGGCCGTTAGCTCCAGCAGCTATTCGTACCTCGCCATAGTCAGGCGGTGGGACATCGACTCCATCGTCGTCTTTATACTTCTCAACTCACCCTTCGCTTTTGTTTTATTTTTTTACAACATTTTTTTATTATTTTTTGTTTTTGCAGGCACACTTTTGTGCGTCGTAATTGTTGCTTGTAATTTATTTGTGACGCGCGTACTTTGCTTCATCGGACGCACCCGCACGACCAAACGGCACATGCACTACGATCTGGTGAATCGGGAGAAGGGCAGCATCCATCGCATCGAAGGCGAACCAAACAGCGGCTCGTCATTGTATCACCACCACAGCAATAGTGTCACAATGTCAGCAGACGCATCCCCTGATGAGATTAAATTCGCCAAGTTAATGGCTTTCCTCAGTATTTCATTCGTGATCTGTTGGATGCCGCAAATGGTGAGTGAAATGCGTGGCGTGTTCAATTTAATAAACAACCTTTGACCTCAATAAACGAATTTAATTTGAAATTATTTCTCTCTATTTCTAACTGTAGATTGCCATCCCCATGGCGATTTTACCGAATCGTGTACCCAAGGCGCATCCATTCTTCATTTTGGCCGATGTTTTAATGGCACTGCATTTCACCTCCGACCCATATATTTATGTACTTAGTCGCACCAAACACTCCTACATATTGGGCTGCATCAAGCGCTGTCGCTGCGAGCTGCGACGCACGCAAAGCGACCAAAGTCGGCTACGCACCACCGTGGAACAAAATACAACGGACTGTGCGCTGAACTGAGAGTCGGTGCGAAGCGCCCAGTCGACGGGGCGTATACGCATTACGTATTTGTAGAGAAACGAATTTAACCGGTACTATACTTACATACATACAAAATAGTTTATTATCACTTTTGTGAAATACTTACGTTTTTTTTGATTATAGTCCTCCAATATGGACGAAACGAAAAGCATTCCGAAGGATCAAAATTCAAAAATATGTATGTATGTATGTATGAAAGTTTTCAGTGTATTTTGGAAAAAAGAAAACTAAGTTAACTGATTTGCATTTTAACACTAAACCTGTAGAGAGTATGCTGAATACATATGTAAGTATTTCTTCTAGTAGATTAGAAGAAAATGCTGATTATCATATAAATATGTATACATACATACATACATACATAGATATAGTGTATGTATATGTTGGGGAAATGTCGAATATTTAGTTCGTAAGCGTTACGGTAAGGTTTAAGTATGTACTTATGTTTGATTTAAGCACGTTTCCACTGATGGTTGGTGGAAGGTTTAGTGTTTAATGACAAATTAAATTATTGTATTAAAGTTGTACTTAATGATATTTTTGTAATTTGCATATGCATGTATGGATATAATTCATAAATTGTATATAAGAAAAAGTGTTACACATTTGCGAAAATCCATTCAACTCTACCTAAATAACAAACATTTACATATGTACATTACATTAGACTGGTTTGCTTACTTTGGGCAGAGTTTAGGGTGACCAAAAAAATAGCCAAATTGAAATTTCTTACTATTTTTTTTTTATGCCTCGAGTTATTGTTGAAAAGATATTTTTGAGTACCAAATATCCTTCTAAGATAATGCCGACGTACTTAATTCTAATATCTATTTTCTATTTGCAGTCATGGGCCGAGCTTAAAAAAGTGAATACAATGCAAAAAAACCTTTTTTTGTAAAACAAAAAATTTATTTTGTGGCAAGTAATTTAAATATATGTACATATATGTATATAAAAAAGATTCCGACGAATTGATAGCCTCCGCCTTTTTTTGAAGTCGATTAAAAAGGACCTAGGAAGCGAACTAAATTATACTTAGGACAAGTAAACATTAAATATGCGTGTCATATCTGAAATAGTTCCAGCTGCGAGGAGCTGCAAGTGCAGCTTCTATTCTTCATTTTAACCGACTTCAAAAAAGGTTATATCGCTAGCTTAGAAAGAAAAGTTGCTAAGTCCTATTTTAAAAATTTTACAGGAGAGGGAAAAATCTTCCTATAGCCATTTTCTTTAACTATTTCGCAAGACTTTGAAACAAACATTTTGCGCGTTTAAAGCAAAGCAAAACTCCATAAGAATCAGAACGATTCGATATTTATTAAAAGATGTCGTATTATTTTGGCCTTATCGGATTTGTGGTGCTTCTTTTGGACTTACCAAATTTTCCTTTTATTGCTTATGAAGAGGAAAAAATAAACAAGTACCTTTATAATTTTCGAAACGATGCGTATTCAATTTCTCTAGCTTCCTATATCAAAATATGAGTTTTCGTAACAATTGGACTTAGCAACTTTTCACTCTAAGCTAGCGATATGTTTTTTGCTTACAAACTACTTGTTATAGACCTCCTGGAGAATTGGTTTTTATTGTAGTGCTGAAGGAAAAGACTCTGATATGTACATAAAATACATAAATAATATGAATGGAAATGGAAGAGAGTGTAGTCATTAATGACTCGCGAATCTGTTAATCAGATTCAGCATTGAGCCAAAAGTGTACGCTTCTCTGGACAAGATCCTATTTCGATGGCAAACGTCCTGCTTGCTTAACTAAGCACAGCTTTTGTTATATAAAATGTATATAGGTAGAATTGGAAAATTGCATTACATCCCAGAAGATAATTTAGGTAGGCCTTCTTAAGTGAAGCCATTCTAAGAGGCCTACCCAAGAAGGAAAAAGTACTTCCTTGCATGCCTTCTAGAAGGGCTTATCCATTTACAATTTACGCGAATGCATAACTTAATATTATTAAATAAACATTTTAAGTTGCAATAACACACACTTGATATAAACCTAAAGCAAATACTTCAAATATGTATGCATTTTATAAATTAAAGAAGCAACTTTAAAAGATCTCCTCCAAAAGGCCTTCTGAAGCACGTCCTATAAAAGCCCTTCGTGAAGGCCTTCTATGGGTAGCGAAAGAGGAAGGCCTTCAATTTGTGCCACTCCATACAAAAAATAAAGGAATGTTGAGTGGAAAGCCTCTTGATTCTCAGGAAGGCCTTTCGGAAGGGCTTTTAACTCCTGAAATTATCTACTGGGATATCATGCACTTAATTTGGTATGCACGTATTGTAAATGTTTTCATTTTTCATCATGAAATGGAAGAAAAAGGAACTTCATTAGAAATAAAATAAATGCATCTGTTAATTTTCCTCAAAATTTATAAAATTTATTACGTGGAGGCAAAATAGTTTTCTTCCAAATTGAAAAATTTTGGCGTAAACGAGCAGTGAACACCGAATTTCATAAAAAAAATATATATTTGTTTTAAATTTGTGCCTATTTTTCTAGAATTGGGGGGAGATATTTAATATAAACCTTTATGCTTTTATGTTTAAAATCAGCATATACTCTGAATTTCATCAAAATCGGATAAAATTTACCATTTCGGCCCACAGGAGCTGTGAGCGTGCCAGCGCGTCGACCTTTTCCATTTTGCACATTTCTTCATTCCTAAGTGCAAAATAGCGCATATACGAAATTTCATCAAATTCGTAACACGATTACTACTTTTGCTCGCCCCACTGTGCGCCCTGGCATGCTGGCAACTCAGGTTGGTAAGTATGTACAGTATCGGTCATATCTATAGCACGCCATTTCAAAGTGATATTGTGTGCCACATATGCTTATTTACTTATTTTTAAGAATTTTCAATTAAAATACAGTTCTTTCTCTAACAAACCCCATATAAACCCAAGTTTAACAATTTGTAGAAAACTTCAAAAAATGGCCACAAATTTTCACCTAAGTTTCAAACTTTTTTCTCGGAAGTGTTAGAATTTTTTTGAGTACACAGTTTTTTAGCCACTGCAATTTTAGTCTGATAATGTGCAAATTTCAAGTGGCTACGATTACCGTTAATTTTTTAGATTTTTTTTTGTCGCATTGGCTTTCATATAATGGATAAACTCAATTTATTTGTATATGGATGAAAACCACAACACCTTTGGCGAAAAAAATTCACAAAAAATTAACGGTATCTTTTAGTCACTTGAAACTTGCACATTATCAGACTAAAATTGATTGGGCTATAAAACTGTGTATTCAGAAAAATTCAAACACTTCCGAGAAAAAAGTTTGAAATTTAGGTGAAAATTTGTTGCACTTTTTTGAAGTTTTCTACAAATTGTTAAACTTGGGTTTATATGGGGTTTGTTAGAGAAAGAACTGTATTTTAATTGATAATTCTGAAAAATAAATAAATAAACATAAGTTGCACACAATATAACTTTGAAATGGCGTGCTATAGATATGACCGATACTGTATGTAAGTACTCAAGCAAATTTGGAATCGATGGGAGCTTTTTTTTTGTATTTGCCGGGCACAAACTATCAACAACAAGAAGCATTACTTGCTTCCCAGCTATGGCATATGAGTGACAACAATATCCATTATCAATGTCAACACTGGGAAGAAATTTCACTTTTGGCTCTTAGGACTTTAGGACTAAGATTTGTAAGACCCCAAACTTCGCTCAAAGTAGTAAGTAATAAACCTAGTCTAATGTACATGAAAAATACTGATATATGTATGTATGTACATATATTTATATATTTATATTGGGGGTATTCACAACGGTGTCGTAAATGTCGTAAACAGCGTTATCGTTCTGGTATTTTTTTTTTACTTTTTAGAATGAATTCGGTAATTCCGCATTTTTTCAATTTGGTACTTTTTTCTGAGTTTGGTAATTTTTTTTTTAGTTTTGGTAAACACTGGTCGTAAACTTTAAACGGCTAAAAATATATTTAGATGATTCGCTAGATACCATTAAAGTTATATTATGAATTTTCACTCTATAAAAAAACGGGTGATTGTCTTAAACTTTTTTAAACATTTATTTGACCTTTTAAAGCTTAAGACATACGAAAATGCGACACCGTTGTGAATACCCCAATTGTATGTGCTTGGGTAGCCCCACACGACATTTGTTAGCTTGTAAGATATAAATGCATTCTAAATAAATGACAATTTTTAAACGCAAATGAATTTCTGGTAAATAACGCAAACTGAGATTACGCATTTCTTAACATTTAATTTTAGTATTTTTTTGACATTATTATTATATCTTTGAGTGCAGAAAATATATAAATATGTAAATGAACTCACCATTTTGTGTTGATCTCTACATCGAAAATGAAAATATACAACGTTTTTTAAAATAAGTTTGCACCATTTAAAAAAATGGTTCGTATTAATTTCTTTACAGAATAAATATCGGAGATTAAGAAAAAATTCCCTCAAATTCTCTTTCATGTTGAGAAACTTGCAAATTTCTGCACGAACGCAAATTTCCAGGAATATACAAGTTTCCCTGTCAGCTGGTACCCACGGTATCATATCAAAACATTTTTATAGAATTTTTAAAATTCTCGACTCTTTTTGCAATTGCATTCCCATTCCGATTGCGAATACAATTTTTTTTTTCAGCAGAGTTCCTCTCCGCGCTTTCAAACGCAATTGTAACAAAGTACAGAGCCGCAACACCGCCCCCAGTCGCACGCTACACCGTGCGTAATTGAAGCGAGTCAAGGGAAGGAGAATCGAAATATGGAAGTTGTTAAAAAAGTTCAGACATGATAATGTACAATTATGTAATGTCTGATATAAAAGAAAATCTATGGCCCTTATTATGAGCTGCATTCGATTTTCGATCTTCGCTGGCTATCGAAGATCGAAGATCGAAAGTGGAATTCGTATTATGAGCTATGCAAGCGTGTCGAAATTTTCTTTGAGTATCGAATTTTCTGTCGAACAGAATTTTGCTTTCGATGGTGTAGCGAAGTGTTAGAAAATTGTGAAAAGTGTATGATTTTGTATGTTTTCTTACATTTTGGCGGCTAGACATTAATTTTAAACAATTTTTATTAATTTCATGCAGTTCTAACATCTTGAATACTAAACACAAGCTCGAAAGGCTGGTTTTACTTGTGAAAGAAAATCCCAATACTCTGTTGGCACGATCTCTGAGAACAAAATCGTAGCGCTGTTGATAGTTTTAAAATATTTTAAATAGATTTGGCTCACAAACGCCTCTTTAGATGGTGGGAACTTTTTAATGAATCTGTAGACAAATTTCTTAAATATATTTTATATCAAAATATATTCGAAAGACTAATAAACTTAAACTCTCTTAAACATTTGCTACTCCTGGCCAGTTTACTAAGCTCTCATCCTCTGACGAATCGTTGAACCAGAACTCGTTGTAGGTACTCATTTTACCACGTTTTTATAAACTTGCTTTCTTTTTTACTTCATTTTAATTAGAACAAATTTACATAAATATGTATAAGCACACTATTTAGTTTGCTCGATTTGTAAACAAAGCTTCTCAGCGGTGAAAAATATACTATTGTGAACAACCTAAACGAGCGAAATTCACAATAGCGCTATTCTTCATCGAATGAGTGCCATAATACCAAATGCAAATTCGTTCGCTCAGCACTTTCGACCACAGTCGAAAATCGAATGCAAATCATAATAGGGGCCTATAAAACAATTTCTTTGTGTCGAATTTGTGGCCTTTGTCTTTCCCCTAAATCGCCCAAATTACGAACTGTGCGCCGGCAGTCCTTAGGGCAGAGGTGCTGTTGGCAACAAATAAGGCAATTGCTCGGCCGGTTCTGAATTATGCTGCACCTACATATTTGGTCACCGGTGACTGGTTGGAGTCAGTATACGAAGCTCCAAACTTGCCAGAATGTTGCACAGCGACGGAAGCCCTTCTGATGTCACCTGAACACCGCCTGCATTATGAGACATCTATGCTCCTGGCTATGGAGCTCAGCAAGCAATTTCTGGGGCTATTCGAAAACACGGACGCGATCCTCACACCCACAACCATACGATACGACAGAGAAATGCGATGCGACAGGCAAACACTCCTGTGTATTACTTACGATGTGTTTGCGCGAATGCGAATCATTTGTTTTCGCATCGCATTACAGAGTAACCCCCCTGGGTTGTTCCGATTATGTAAAACGACTGTCCTGGAAACGACACCACCAACAGATTTTCAGAACATGCCTGACAGCTTTGAATTTTGGTAAAGGGTTGAATCTGAGAAAACTAACGGAATATGTAAAAAAAAAATGTATTTCTGGAAAGTATCAAATAGGGCCGCCTTTTGATTTGATGGCGACGATATGTAAGTACTTAAATCTCATCTATGAAAGTGAATCTATTGCCAATATTTTTTAGGGCGGTATTATCACTTGCGAAACGAATGATTTTGGCGAAGCGAACGGTTTGGTGAAGCGATTTAAAGGGCAGAGAAGGCATTAAAAGTGTTCGCGATACAAAGAACTTTCACAAGCTGGTAAAAAAGAATACTCTTAATGCATATTTAAGTTGCGTCCGCCAATCCCTTCGCTTCGCCAAATTCATTCGCTTCGCAAGTGATAATACCGCCCTTAAATTATCTATTGTACACTTGGATACACACAATTCCTAGGTAGGTACGCATGTACATATTTCACCGCCGATTTCGGTTTTGTGCCGGACCCAATATCTATTCATATACCAATCAAATAAAGTAAAAACGATCGACTTTTATATTTCGTACATCTAAAGGTTTTTTTTTATTTACCTCTTAAAATATGCTTTTACATTGTATAATGCATAATACAGCAAAAATCCAGTGTACACCGAATTATATACGCTTTCTGCTTGTGATTCAAATCACCTCACACAAGACAATTATTTAAATACTCATTCACGCGATTTGCAAAAAGGCTTGCATGTGCGTCACACTCCTTACATTTTGACAATGAAATTGTTTTAAGTAGCCTTTCGACTGAATTACTGGCTTTTTTGGGTCTCATTTTTTTTCATTTGCTTTGTTTCGAACAATTTGCTGGAAGTTTGCAAATACATATTTTTTTTCTCAAGTTTTCAAGTAAATATTTCTATATTGTTAATAGAAGTTGCAATCAAAGTAATAAGATTGTTAATATTGAATAATGTATAATAATGTATGTATACTTGCATTATGTTTTCAATTTATTTGATCTTGTCAAGTTGCAAAACATATGTACGTTTTCATGTATTATTGTTGGAAAGTATTACAACTAAACTTAAATAGTGGAAATCATTTATTTTGCTCTAGTAATAATTTATGCTCTACATTTTTGTTGTTGACGAAGTTTAAAAGATGTCTCAATGTTGACGAATCTAAATTTCGTCATGTCTACTACACACACAAACTATTTGCTTAGTAGCGATTGTAGCGTCCACGTCCACGGCCGCGCGGTGTTGCCTTTGGCGTTGCGCGAGCTGGAGTTGCCTTTTTGGCGGGCGAGTTGTCAGCTGCGGGGGTTGATGGTGCTGGTGTTGCTGGAGCGGCTTTAGCAGGTGTTTTAACGGGCTCGGGTTTTGGTTGTTCCTTGACTGGCTCTGGCTCGGGTTCTGGCTCAGGTTCGGCTTCGGCCTCAGCCTCAGCTTCGTTCTCTTGTGCTTCCATTTCTTCGTCACCAGCACCTTCCTCTTCAGCGTCAGCACCCTCTCCTTCGCCACCTTCGGCATTATCGTTCATCTCAACATCCTCATCGTCGCCAGTGGCCTCCGATGGATCATACAGCTCACCCTCACCACCCTCAGCAGCTTCACCATTTTCAGTCTTAACTTCAGTGGTTGCTGCAGCCTCAGCCTCTTCCAACTTACGCTTCTTGCGCTCACTCTCCTCTAGAGCAGCAGCTGCGCGCTTCTGAGCAATCTTAGTATCGCTAGACTTCTCATTGATGAATTTCAAGAAGTTGCGGTGGTGAGTGACGGTGCGCGAGTGCACCTCAACTGTCTTCTCTGTATCAAAGAATTTACCGCAAAGAGAGCATTCGAAGCACTCCAATTTGGTGATGAGACCGGAACCCACTGGACGTGTCCAGTTGTATTTGGGCAGACGGTTGTCAACTTCAGTTGGGATCTCATCACCGTCAGCGAAATCCACAATACAATCCTCGGGATCAACTGGCAAAGCGACTTCTTCCTCTTCTTGAGTTTCATTCAATTCGTCCCCCTCTTTGGTTTCATCAGCGCCCTCTTCACCTTCTTTCTTTTCAGCCTCCTCTCCCTCAGCCTCGTCACCGTCGGCGGCTTCTTCACCCTCTTTTTTTACTTCAGTTTCGCCTTCAGCCTTCTTGGCAGCAGGCTTCTTCCTCCTCTTCTGTGGTGGGCGCAAGTCCTTCGATTCCTCCTCTTCTGTATGAATGGTCAGAGTATTACGTTTGCGCTCGCCCACCTTGGTATTCTTTTCAGCGGCCTTCTGCAAGTGATCAGCCGACAACAAATGGGTGTCGTAATCAATGCGAGTAGCAAATTCCTTGTTGCATTCAATACACTTTGGATGAAGGAATTTTTTCAAGCTTAAATGGCCCTCCGACTTGCGATGAGCCGAAATATGGCCATGGAAGTTAAGATCGCACATAGTACAGTATTCCAATTGACGCTGCTTGGTCTTGCCCATGCGCTTCAAACGATCCAATTCAATCGATTTCAGTTGCTCGGCGATCTTGGCCTCCTGACGAATCATATTTGCCTTTAGGCGATAGCTCTCTTCAATGCCCTCGCGCATCATCAAATGAGTACGGCCCTTGATGTGATTCTCAAAAGAGTTGGCGTCCCACATATGCTTCTTACACAGGTGGCAATAGAACATGTCGTTGGGAACGCTGGCATAGGGTGACTCCTTGCTGCTTATTGAGAATTCCGAGATTGAGATGAAAAAGGAAACGTATTAGTTTTAAGTTTGAAAATCTTATTTACTGTTTCATTTATGCAAAAATTAATGGCATAAAATAATATATGAAATAGGGGAAACGCGAATGAAATATGATTTAATTCTAGGAGTGTGTTAAGCTTTTAAGGGCATTAAAAGAATATTTTTTTGACAAAATTTCCACTAAAAATGGCCTCAAGCTCAATAAAATGTTGAATATCTTCTCAATTTTCTTTTTAAATGCTTTACTCTTACTATTTCTCTAAGGTCGTTTCTGATGCAACAAACATCAAAAATGAAGGCAACCAAGACGTAGGTAAAATCGGCTGTTGTAAATTTGAATAAGCGATTATTAAAGTATGGAAGCATAAAGAGATGCGATTGAAAGGAATAGATTTTTTTTTTATATATCTGAGTATATACATAAGTTTGTATATTAGAGCTGTTGGGGGCTACTATTTTCGAGGTCATTATCATCTCTTTTATTTAATCCGAAATTTATATTTAACATACTATTTTTAGAAACTATAAGCATTTAGAAAAGAAAGAAGGAAATAAGATATCGTAAAACCTATGATTTTCGAAAAAATTTTATTGAAATATGTATGTATTTGATAAAAGCTCGTGAAAAGTGCAAAAGTATGATTTTGTACGGTAAATAAGTATACCAATGGCAGCAAAATAGTGCTACAATGCTACAATGTGCTATTCGTCAATCCAGTATAATTGCCATTTTACTATACATACGAAGCGGAGCTCTAGTGCGTAGAGTTTTATAAAATTCACTCGCTAACCCATGGTTTTACATTAAAAGTTTGTAATCTATTTGGTTGCTTTAACACACTCCCAACATACCTTTATACATCATATCGCAACCTAAATTAAAAACAGTCACAACTCTAAAAACCCGAATGTACACAGAAATAGTCCAATAGTATTTTTATTAAGATTTATAACAGGCGTTAGATATACATAGTGAACCAAATAAAAACTGAGACGTGACATTTTAGCAAGTGTTGGCTATTGTTCTTTAGTTTATTCAGTTTATTATTTTTGTATAAAAGCATAGCTGATTAGCTGATTACTTAGCAAACAGGATGATATAAATCCAAATTTCCGACTTTGCGCAAAAACTATAAAAACTCTGCAAAGTTTGACCTATAGCCTACACTCATGGTGCTCTCTTAATTGTTTATCTCTGAACTTTAGTAAGGGCTCATTATTCTACTTTCACCAGAAAGCTTCTTCCTGTTCAATCCAAGTATAATATTGGCTGTTATGATCATAGATCGGTCGTTGAGGTTAAACAATTAGGAGTATACTTTGACTGAAAATGCAACTTTCTCAACTCATATTAATCACGTTAATTCCAAAGCTTATGCTATGCTCGCTTTTGTTCAGCGTAATAGTAGGTCATTTAGGGATCCCTATACCTTGAAGCTTCTGTATGTTACTTTGGTATGATCTAGGTTAGAATATGCGTCCTTCATTTGGCGACCCATCAGTCCGCCTACACAAACCGGATTGAAAGGATGCAAATTTTTCAAATTTGCCTTGCTTTTATTGTATCTCGTTGTCAACTCCTTGGCATAAATTCGTTAAATAGTAGGCGTTCATTCCTCGCTGCCTCTTTTGTGGCTAAAATAGTGGAAGGCACTGTCCATTGCTCTACGCTTTTGGAGAAGTTATCTTTAAATGTTCCGTCTCATAACTTGCGTCGTGTTTCATTATTTTATTTGGGATTTCCGAAATCCAACTATGTGAAATTCTCGCCTCTTTGAGTTAAATGAGCTTTCGGTATATGATCTATCTCTCTCATTTGGAACAGTACGTTGTGTCCTGCTAAATTACTTTAGGTATTATTTATGCTCCTTTGCTTTAGTCAGTAAGGATTTGTATTCCATTTGATTGAATAAATAAATAAATAAATTTTTTTTTTTAATTTCTTAATAAGCATCTGCGTGCCTTTTGCTCCACTAAATTTTCATGGGCTACAAAGCAAAAAATATTGGTCAAACTTTGCAGAATTTTCATAATTTTCAAGAATATTAAACATTAAATAAACTAAAGAAAAATAGCCGAAACTTGCTAAAATGTCGCGTCGCAGTTTTTATTTGGTTCACTGTATAGTCGGCAAACAATTTTATGGGACAAAATACATTTTTAAAAATTTTATTAGTATGTTTTTGATTCAGGGTGCGATACGTATGTACATACATTTCTTCTAAAAACGTATTATAAAATAAGACATGAAGTGATGTTTCTTTCCTATCCAATTCTTCAATGAAAATTATGACCATTAGACAGATTAAATCAGAGACCATAACGATTATAAGAAATAAAATTAAATATTGCTCTAAAATTATTACTGAACACTGGAAAAGTTGTTTTCGTCGCGCGGGACGATTATTTTAAAATGTAAATTATTTTCGTGATCTCATAATTATATGGGACTTTTATTTTTTTTCGTCTCTCGGGATGTTTATTTCAAGACGAAAATGCTTTACGTCTTCTCATAATAATTATATGGGATTTTTATTTTTTTTTTTCGTCTCTCGGGACCTTTATTTCAAGACGGCAATTATTTACTGGATTAAATGAAATAATTGCATATTATTTGCAAATCGCCCTTTTTTGAATAAATGTGGAAATATCACTTCATGCCCGATTTAATTTTTATGCTTTGCATTGTTTGCATATAAAAATATACAGCTCCTGTTCTTCGAATTATGACCGACACACTCTTCTGAATAAATATTTTTCAAGAATTCCCTTTAAAATAAAAAAGCTTTGGGGATGGATAAAGTCAAAGTTAAAAGTTTCAGATCATTTCTTAGAACGTATTCGAAATAGATTTTGTCAGTGCTTTCAATTCAAATCAAATATTTATATTTATATTATTTTGCGATTTGGATCACGATCCATAAAAATTTCGAGCTAAACGTTCAATAAATTGAGCACTTTAAAACCTTGGTTATTTTTAGTGTCATTCGTATTATGACGGAAAATTAGTTTTCTATTTGAGGTTAGCTAAAATAATCGATATGAGATTGAACATCTAATGGAAATACTGAAAAAAATGTCTTCCAAAATATTGAATATTCTCCCAAGTTCTATAAGAATAATGTTTGGAATACGATGATCGTATTTACGATAACAGTGTACATGAACGACTTTTTACCTCGCTTTTATTAGCTTGGGATGATGTAACTATGTAATATTGATGCGCCTAAAAGATGCAGCGATTTCCATTCTCAAGTTACATACCTGATGACAGTACGAATGGAAATTATAAAAGCGAGTTTTTAGTTTTTAAACTATACTTTTTTTACCTATTCACTAAATAGAAAGATTCATTACAGAGAAAGGTGAGCGCTACCGAACAATGACAATGGACTTTTGTTTGTATGAAATCGTTAAAGATAATTATTATGCTTATCATTTAGCAGCGACTGAGGCGCTTGGGAATGAAAATAGATCGCTCGATACAGGGGGAACTTCTTTTTTTGCTGTAGTGACGTTTAAAATAAATAAAAGTTGTTCAGGGAGGCAACGAAATTGGGTGATCGCATAGGCCGCTAAGGGCAGCCTTCGGCAAAATTAATTATTCGAATAATAAAACTGCGAAAAAATTCCTAGTCCGACTCGCCGGCTCTCTTTATACCAGGCGATTTTTGTTGAACACGAAGTGGTTAGATTGGTAATGATACTGGGCGCGAAATAACAATTTTAACAATTGAAAACCTGAAATTGATTTTTTTCTTTAATTAATCAATGACTAAATTCGTAAAATTATCAAAATATGGGCAAAGGTCGCACTTGATTTATACTATCAAAATGGCGATGTAGAATGTGAGCAAACTCAAAGTTGCATTAAGAAAAAGTTAAGTGGCTAAAAAGTTGACTCGCGACCAGTTTTGGTGAAAACGATCAGGTGAATGACAATTTACACAAGCCGGTTTTTGAATTAACTTAAAAGGCGATAATAATAATCACAATGTAAATCCTTAAAAAAAAATTGTTTTAAGTTAAAAACATTTTCCATTTGGCCATAAATCAGTGAACAGGTGCTATATATTTGGCTTAAAGATGCCCTGTAATAAAATACTTCGATGATAGCTAGTAGTATAGGTGGAAAATGCGCGTCGGGTAATAAAAAATAAATAAATTAAAAAACTTTGACGTACAAATAATTAAATAAAGCAAAATCAAATTAAAAATTAAATATGTCCGCTGAAATGGGCAATAAAAGATAGTAGATATATAAATGTAATACAAACAAAAAAGCAATAAATCGCAGTAAATTTCATGATTATTCATCCCACACATTTCCCAAAACCCACATTCCCACCTACAGACTTTTTATCATCATTCAACCACTGTCCTCCGTGTGTCGTATCGTATCGTATTTCGAAACGAATGTGCAATAGTGCACATTGACTTCGTTTTAGGAGAAAATTCTTTCTTGTAAACCCACTCGCGCTTAGCTAATAATAAATAAATGGGATAGAAAGTGGCAATGCTTAAATAGTAAATGTAAATTGGGTTATAGAGGATTCCCCCATTTATATTTTTGCATTAAGAGTTGTCTTAAAATGATGTAGGCTGTTTTTTGTATTGGTTCGAAATTGAAATTGTAGTAAAACTTGTTGAAATTGTTTTTGTCAAAAACGCTTACCTCTCAGTTTTCTTATCGCCAGAAGCGGTATCCTTCTTTTTGTTATTGTTGGCGTTTTTAGCCAAAAGTTTCTTAGCACGATCGAAAGCATTCTGCTTGCGAATTCCGCCAGCGCCTTGTTTTGGAGCTGATTTAGGACCAGCGGCGCCACGGTTTTGAAAACCTCCTTGAACACGGCGATTATTAATGCGATTGCCAGGAGGACCACGATTGACCATCTTTATTTTACAATGTTATGCAATTTTTGTAAATTTTATAATGGATAAATTGAATATGAAATAAATGTGCACACATTTTTTTATATAAAACATGCATGAATCATTTTTGTTTCCCATATTTGGATAGAAACAATTTTATGTGAAAAATTTGGTTCATATTTTCAGTTGCATATAAATGTAGCGTGAGATGGAAACGCACACAATTTGCAAACATTTTTACAAATACATTTCACAGTAGTTTCATATTGCGAACACAAGTTCATTGTACGGTATTTTCGAAGCACAAATCATTTATCATTTCATGTGATCAGTAGCAGCAAAGTGCATATTCACATATTTTGTTTGTAGATATTTTTCGTTCAAGAGTTGTTTATACATATATTTTTTTTTTAATTTTTTGTTTGTTACAATATTGCATGTAAATATTTAAAATAAATGGTAACAACATTTGAATATTCATAGAACACAAGTAACATCAGAACATTTTTTTTTGTTTGTTTAATGAATTTTTTCATAATTGTTATAAATATGTATTTATAAGATGTGTCAGTTCGTTGGCAAAATTGGCAATCAACATTAAATGAGCATTTGAAGTGGACGATTGGTTGTATGGCGGGCAGCAGCAATTGCGTCAACACACATGTGCACAAAGCAGCCGAAAAGGCGTTAATGCGTTAGTGTGTATGACGATACAACATATATTTTTATAATGTGTATTTAATGGATATAATGCAAGCGGTCAAATATAGTCGTTGTTGAAAAGTTTTCATTTCATATATGAAAAATTTTTATGAAATACCCATATCGTTTTGTTTGTTTTGTAAGAAATACACATGCGAGCAGAGCAGCAAAAGTTGGTTGGAAAACGCGGTTCAATTCATAGTTCGTTATTGATGCATAGTTCATTTGCAGATTAATGTTTTCGTTATTTTTTTCATTTGTTAAGAATTTTTAAAATGGTTTTGTTTTTGAAATAAATCATTCGGGTTTTGTTTTTGTTTGGTTTGTTTTAAATCACCAGCATATTTGGATTGCAATAAAGAATCGTTGAAGAAGCACCAGACCAGTGTAAGTCGCAGTTGTAAGCAGTAGAGTAGGCAGATAATCATCGATCGATCGACAGTTGTGATGGGCACCATCATGTTGAAGAGACATCGGTTGCAACATTTACATTCGAACAGTATTTATGCATGATTGGCGGCAGTTATGCGGCATGAATTTGAATTGCGTAAATGCATGAGTGTATGGTTGTTTGGTCGCAGCATTTGCGTTCATGTGCAATGCAAGGTTTTCGATTAGATTATTTATTTTTTTTTTTTTAGGGAAGGAATTAAATGTGTTTTTTCAGGGGATTCGAAAACCAATTGGACACATGCGCGATAACGCATTTAAAACGCAAGCAATGCCAAAACATCAATAACAACAGCATACGCATTATCAAAACGTCAACAATAACCGCATTTGTTTTTGAAGTTGCAACATTTTTGGATCACAATCGATTCGCAGCAGATGGAACATTTGAACAAATTAGAGGTTCAGTTCAGTGCGATTTAGGGTTTTGTTTTTGTATATATACGGAGAAGAGAATAAAAGAAAGTAAACAATTGCTAATTAGAAACTTGGAATTTTCCAGCGCATATAGTACAACAAAGTGTTTTGTTTGTTAACTCTTAAAATTATAAAATATACATTTTATGAAATAATTGTTCGATTAGAAATACGCTGTTTGACAGTAGCTTATAGTTACAAAAATTGGAGAAACTAAAACTGCTAAAAGTATTTGGCTTTGCATTTCGCATTGTATTACGTACAATTTTTGTATTAGAGCTAAGTGTGATTTCTTTTTACTTTAGACATATGTATGCGTTACATTGAAATAACATAAGAAATAATTAGTGGTACTGTTTGAAAAAAATTGTGCACTTTATTATAAAGTAATTTGGTCTCCTCTCTCATAATATAAAAATTTAGCATTATAAATGGACAAATGCCTTTTACTTGAAAGCCTCCAATGCACAATCCTTTTACAATAGTTCAATTTTAGTTTCGCATTTTGAAAAGGAAGAAAATATATATATACATACTAACAAGGTTACATATTATGATTTAGAATAAAGGTTACTTTTTGTTTCACGTTTTTTTTTTGTTTGTTTTACAAGTTCCATAATTAAATTTCATAATGAAAGATGTTGTATATATTTCAAGCATAAAAAAATATCAATTCATACCGTATGCGTGATTAAAGTTGGTAGCGTGGATTTTAATAAACGTCTTTCAGTTTTACCTTTAATACTGGAACCCAAAAATATATATACATATGTATAAGAAAGCGTTCATGTTTGGTATTAAGAAAATTCTATGAATTTACTATTCGAATCATTTATCAAACGCAAACTTCGCATAACTAGCTTGTTTTAACTTAAACAGTCTAAAAGATGTGGCAACAAATTGCTTCAACAATTATTTTAGAAAAAAGTAATGTAAATTCTTTAAACAAAATAGGAGGAACAATCTGGCGTATTGCGAACTGAAGTTTGCTTCCAACAGACCCTCAAAAAAAGTTTCGAGTATTTCCAGCAAATTTGTTCAATGTTCATATTGGCGGAATGAATTAATCGAGAATATGGTCCAAAGCCTTACTGGCTTACTTCACAATGTGGAAACATCACACCAAGCATCATTTCGTAGAGTTCCCAAATTTTATGGGTTTTTGGTGATAAAATGATAGTAGGGAAAAACGGACAGATAACGAAATATGTAAATTTTAAGTGAAGGGAACTTTTACTGATTTAAAAAGTATTCCAACCATAGGAAGTTCAAATTAGTTTTGATATCTCTTTTTTTCCTTCGTGACTATTTTAAAATATATTCTTCTCTCTCGATGCATTCATGATGGGTAAATTGAAACAATCTCCTAACGTTTTCGTTACTTTCCCGATAATCGAACGGATCGTAAATATTGCCGTTTTCATCGTTCCCACGACAGTCTACGCAACCGGAACGACCCAGATTTATATCTGGCCAAGGACTGTCACTCGAGCAACACTCCCCAAAAAGTCTTTGGGGAATTTGTATGCTGCTACAACAACAACAACATTGTCGTTTTCATCGATTTCTCGATAGCGAGACGGATCGAAATAACTTCCGACTGAGATGCGATTTCACTATCAAAAACACTTCACACAAACTTTTGAAAACGTAGGACGAGACCGAGAACTCTGCTGCCACAAACTGAAGGACAGGTAGTAGTTTTACGATAATTTTTCGGAACCAGTTCTCGATAGTTGTGTACGCGAAAGTGTTAGCAAAATTTCTAAAACAGATATATTCTCGTGCCGTTGGTCGGGTGGGTTGTGATAATTTCCACGAAGATTTAATTTTTTTTTTTACGGTACAGCAACGCTTATGTATCTTTGTACTTTGTAGATTTGTAGGTTTGTGCATTTTTAGCTGAATTGGGCATAAAAAACCGACTTTTAACATATCGTCGTTTAAAGTGCAAAACCGCGCATCAACAAAATGCAAAACCGCGTATCAGCGAAATGCAAAACCGCGTATGTGACATTGTAGAAATTATCTTCTAGAGTGTAAAAACACTCATATTTCAAAATGGATCTCTTTTTTATAAAGCAATCGCATTTCTGGCTAGTATATTTCAGGACGAATGCATAAGGATTGAGCCAAGAGCTTGTGTGAGCAAATCCAATTTTTGGCAGCCAATGTCAGTTACGCGGTTTTGCAGAATGACGATAGGGGGTTTTGTACTTTAAACGACATATGTATATCGACAGTTTTATACCAGTCCAAAGGATATTGTGAAAAATTTAAGCGGCGAAAATTTGTATTGACCCGAAATGGTTCGCTTTATCATGAATATGGAACGATTTCGGGTGAAGGACATTTCACATAGAAATATCGAAGTTGGGATAAAAACTGTCAATGCTATAAAATTTCAGTAAACACTTTAGAACGTACATTAGAGTATTTTTTGTAATTTGTGAAATTTTATCAATTGTTTTGCGGTATCATCTCTGCGAGTGGCAGTTATTTCACCGGGGAATACGGCATATGATAGGGTGAAAAAGATTCGAAGTGAACTACTTAGCTTGGCGAATATTGAACATAAATAGATGGACTGCATGGCCGAAATGTGAATCAGTCGTGTTTTCACCTATGTACATACATATATGAATAGAAATGCCAAGAAATTGGAGTGAAAACCAACTTTCATACAGAGCAAAACAAAGCTTGAAATGTGATCCGGCATTATTCGTTTTGAACTGGCAAAACAACTAATTGAATGCATAAATTATGCATATGCGAAGATATTTTTAAATTTCTCGAATCATATACTTAGTCAAGGACTGCCACTCCGGCAGCACTTGCACAACTATTTGACGAATTTTTAAGCAGTCACAATTACAACAATGCTTGGGTTCAATTCTGACTTTACCAACGAACCTATTGAAATTTCCAAAAGTATCAGCTTTTATCACGCATACGACATAAATTTACAAGCAATACTGCTTTTACTGTTAACCAGTTGCAGACTGCATCGACGTAAAAAAAACTAAAAATTGTAAAAGGATAACTTGAAACTTAAATTGTAATATAAATACATAAAAAATCATATACATACCGGTCCGCCGCGTTGATTGCGATTGCCCATACCGCCTCCACCGCCGCGTGGCAGATCCAACAAGGAAGGTGGATTTTGGTTTCTGAACAAATTGTTTAAGAGATTATTAGCCAAATTAATGGCCTGAGCGTTCATGCCTTGGCCACCGCCGCCTTGGCGCATATTGCCACCACCAAAATTACCTCCGGCATTTGGTGTATCCCAAGGCGACATGTTCATGTTTCCCATGCGGTTTGCACCCATTGGGCCCCCACCATAGTTGTTACCGCCGAAGTTTCGGTTGCGGTTTTGGTTGCCACGGAATGCCATTTTCTTATTATTGCTATAATTTACTTGCTTAACACTATTTAAAAGATAATAAAAAAATTAAATTAGTTAATGAGATCATTTAGTTAAAACATATTTATATTGTTAAATAGGCGTTATACATAAACTAAAATGTGGAACACTGCGTGTGCTGCATAAACAACTACTTCATACCTTGGAGACATTTGGGTTTACAAAATTTTTAATTTAGAAGGCCAAAAGTTGACAGACTAATCAATAAAGCACACACACACAAAATCAACTAATATAGGCGGAAAAGCGAGTATGTACTTTATTATTTTAAGATTCAGAGGACTATCTTAATTCAATCTTTGCAAATTATCTGAAAAACAAAGAGAATAGCAGACATATACCATAAAATACGTGCAGTAAAAGTTGAATAATTGTTTAAGGTATAATTTAAAAAGGTAAATTTTGAAAAGGTATTCAAAATATGTTAGTAGAAAGCGACTAAAATGCATGATTTTAATTAATTTGACAAATTTACAACACGTGAACTTATAGAAAATTTCCAGATTTTTGTGTGTACATCAAGTTTCTGCGCGAACAAGTCCACAGCAGAACGGCAAAATGTTATACCAACAAAAGCCTGCGAACGAAGAAAAACTCGTTCGCCCGTTGAATGTTGCTGATGATCGAATATTCGTTCGGCGATGGAAGAAAACAAAGGCAAAACAGATAAAAAAAAAAAAAAGCTTTTAACTAAAAAGGTGTGAATAACCTCATTTTCAATTCATCACGTTTTAAATAGTTGACATACATACAAAGTGGTGATAGTTTTATAAAATGTATTTAAATACAAAGACCGGCCGGTATGCAAAAGGAAGTTCCGCGAATGCATGTTTTTTCTAGAAACTTACAAATATACATCGCCAAACCTACCGGCTGACTCACGCCAATAACAGATTTGATAGAATTTAAGCACGAACTCGTTAAACAAGTAAAAATGTATACACACACAATTCGAAACGATTGAAAATCGAGGGACGAGCAAAGACAAAATGCGAATGGCAAAACAAGATGGCGCCTCATTTTTCACTTTTCTGACAAATTTCTTCTAGGGCTAGTTTCTCCAACTCAACTAACTTAGTTTAGCAAATTTTTGCACTTACGTCAAGAATAAGCTGATTAAAACGTATGCTAAGTTTTGGCTTAGCCTAGATGGTGAAAATGAACCAAGTCTAAATCATGGCTAAACTAAGTTGAATTGGAGAAACCAGCTCCTAAAGTACCTCTTGGCTTGAATTTGCAATGAAAACAATGGAACTTTAGTGTTTCTACAGAAAAGTATATAGTATAAAAATCCTCGTTTAAACTCGCCACTCAACGAAGTTGAAATTTTAAGGTAATGCAGACTGTACATACTTTTATCGCCATGTGCAGGCCACAATTTTTTCCCGCATGTAAAATTTATAATTTCTTTATGTAACAATTCTAGACAACGCCGATAAAATTAGTGCATATATTTCAACTTATGTATCGAGGAAAAATCAATAATTACACAAGAACATATATGTACACATATAGAAATGTGTATCTATACTAAGAACCCAAGCCAGGTAATAAATTAAATAAAATTAAAAATCATGCTAAATTTGATGATTTTACTTACCTTCTGTCGAAGATTCTACTTTCACAGTAATATTTTATGATACAATTGTAATTTTTACACTTTTCTCAAGTGAAAAAAATTAAAGATGGCGACGGTGTGATTTTTCTATATGAACAATACCGCGCCCACAATCTACACGTACTACACCAGCAACGAACGAAGAACGAATGAACGAACGACGGCAAATGGAAAAGATGAAAGATGACAGAAAAGAAACGAGCGAGTAAACTACTGGAGTTGCCAGACTAATCGATTTAATTAATAATCAAAATTTATCGGCCGTCTTCCCGTGGTGGGAAATCTCCCTTAGGGCACTGTCACACGGTCAGTATTTATTGACGTGATCCAAGTATCACGCTTTTTATTGACGGTGTACCATGCAGTATTGATGGATCGTGATCCATATCGCAAAATTTCCAAAAATTTTTAAATCTGGATCGCGGATCGCAATATTGTCAATAAAGTACAATGTCAGTACATCTTGTACTCTCATAATACGAACATCGAAAACGTGTTCGCTATGCCTTCGTTCTCGTTGCTTAAAACCTTTCAAAACAAATTGAAAAAAAATTTAATTAACATTTGAAATTTTCAAATAATTGTGGAATGCTTTATCTGTAAATTCATAATAAGCGTTCAGCACAAAAATTATGCAAATACTGGCGCAATAAATATTGAACATGTAGCATTCGTGCGCTATCCATCAATCCATCAATATAGATCGCGATCCAAATATCGTGATAATTACTGACCGTGTGACAGAGCCCATATACAATTTGCGCATGCCGGATTTTTGCGAAACGTCAACGCGATAGAGAGCTACTCGTTACTTTTAAAACTAAATACGGTGGCACGAATACATTGACGCTGCCATACCTACTATTTTCAACGTGCAACTATTGCCCGCTTGATGTCGCCCTGGAAAGTAAAAAGCAATTCATATCGTCGTTCGATGTGATTCGATTTTCTTTGAAAATTAGATTTTAATCTAAAAAGAATTGAGGAATTAAATTCAGTCTATACTTTCATACACGGTTGCCACTTCATCAAACCATAATATACAAGTAAAAAGGTCCAAAATAAAACAAAATGTATCTACCATTTTTGCCGTCCAACAAAAATATATACAATGACTCAAACAAGTGACCGCGTGTTTATTTTTTGATAATCGTAACGCTTTTCGAAATTTTTTATTTATTTTTGTTATTTTTCTATAAAAATACCGTTCATGCTTTTACCGAAACCAAATAAGCAGTTCCAAACTTTATACAAAATTTAGGAAAATTCGACAAATTTTCATCAAAAGCGCAATTTTTAATCTGAATTTTAGAACATTTTTGGGTATGCAGTTTATAGCCCATACAATATTAGCTTAGGCAAAGGCAAGCATCAAAGGCTTAAAAGCCCGTTGATTTTTGAGAATTTTTGTACTTTTTTCCATATAAGCATAAATTCCTTATGAAATTAAATGCGTTAGACCGTAAGCAACAAAATTTCGAAAAATCAACGCCAGTTTTTGTAAATTGCACTTGTTATATATAAAAAAAAAAAACACTGCAAAAGCAGCCTCCAAACAAAAATCAACGCGATTTTTAAGGCGGTTGAAACTTGCACTTCATTAGACTAAACTAGTATGGGCTACGAAACTGCATACCCAAAAATGTTATAAAGATTCAGATCAAAATGTTTAAATTTCGATGAAAATTTGTCGGATTTTCCTAAATTTTGTATAAACTAACAAAAAAGGGCCAAAGGCCCAAACGAAGAATAATGGCCTATATTTGGTACAATTGTACCAAAGTGACAACCGTGCTTACATACATATGTAGAAAATAACAATTCAAACTGTTCTGAAAATACATTTGCCAATATCGCCGTTCTGCGAAACCGCGTAACTGACATTTTTTTTGCCAAAAATTAGATTTGCTCACACAAGCTCTTGGCTCAATGCAATTGCTTTATAAAAAAGAGAACCATTTTTAAATATGAGTGTTTTTACACTCTAAAAAAAAAAATTATGCAACCTCAAATACGCGGTTTTGCATTTTGTTCATACGCGGTTTTGCTCTTTAAACGACGATATGTAAGTCTATATTTACTTCTGCTTAATTAGATTAAAACGACAACAAGTTGCTCCTAGTTGAAGTTTATTTTTTATTAACAGCAAAATTACAATTCAATTCTTTGTTGAGTTTGCTTAGATTATTTTCTTGAAAATGTTCGTACATAATTTTGTCTTTTTTTTGCATCTTCTCGAGAAAAAAATTTTTTTCGTATTTATGAAAGCCATTTTTTTAATATTTTTTATGTGTATGGATGTACACGTATACATATGTACATATATATGTAAGTCTGTGAAATCATGAATATGTATCTACATATGTACATATGTATATACATGCGTATGCTTATGTTAATGTTTGTACATAAGAATGACCCCGAAATATAGCCACATTTAATCATTAACATATGTACATACATACATACATATTCCTTATTGTATAATCTCTTGCACTTTAATTTTTTTTTTTAATTTATCGAAATACAGCAAACATCTTTCACAAACGGATTGAAAAACACACATCTATACTTAACTACTCGTTATATGTACTTACATATGTATTTTTATTGCATTCAAGCATTAGCGCACACAAGGGGTGGGTTTTGGGGTTCAAACCCCCCCCTAAAGCTAATAACCTCAAATACAAACTGTATCTTAAAGCTAAGAATCCAGCTCTCCAGGAAATTATAAGAAATATTTATTATAATTTCTGTTGCCTGAAAAAGCGCTTTGCTTTTGCTGTAAATTTCTATGAGGAAATAAATATCGATGGCTGAGTGGAAGATCGACCTATCTCGGCAGCCAGTTCGAAAACGCTCTATCTCAAAAAAATTTTCAAGAACGCCCTACTTCAGAATTTAATTGAAAAACACCTCATCTCAAAATTCGGTTCAAAAACGCCCTATCTCACTTCAAAATGTATTGAAAATATGCTGATATAGGGCGTTTTTGAATCGAAAGTTGAGATAGGGCGTTTTTGAAACGAGTTCTGAAATAGGGCGTTCTTGAAAAGTTTTTTGAGATAGAGCGTTTTCGAACTGGCTGCCGAGATAGGTCGATCTTCCACTCAGCCATCGATATACGAGCATTTTTTTCTTGAGAGCTGCAAACTGATTTAAGAAATTTTGGTATAAGAAAATTTCTTTTCCATTTCTCGTCCGTCGTTTTATATGAATTTTTAGGGCTGTGCGATTATTCGATTACTCGAGCAAGTTGGTTAATCAG